TCAGCATTTGAAGCAGATTCGACGTGATGGATAATGGTTGATGATGATTTCTCAATATTTGAAGTGGATTTTATATCAATGGTGAGAGTTGGCAATATTTCAATATTTGAATTATGGGCGACATTATTGGTGAAAGTAGGTGAATTTTCAGCATTTGTTTCGACATTATTGGTGATGATTGTTGAATTTTCGGTATCTGAATGATAATCGACGTTATAGGTGGAAATTGAACTTTCAGTATCTGAATGGTAGTCGACGTTATTGGTGCAAGTTGGTGACTTTTCAGCATTTGTTTCTACATCCTTGGTGAAATTTGTTAAACTTTCGGTATCTGAATGACAGTCGACGTCATTGGTGGAAATTGAACTTTCAGTATCTGAATGGTAGTCGACGTTATTGGTGGAAGTTGGTGACTTTTCAGCATTTGTACCAACATCCTTGGTGAAATTTGTTGAACTTTCAGTATCTAAATGACAGCCGACGTCATTGGTGGAAATTGTACTTTCGGTATCTGAATGATAGTCGACGTTATTGGTGGAAGTTGGTGACTTGTCGGCATTTGTTTCAACATCCTTGGTGAAATTTGTTGAGCTTTCGGTACCTGAATGACAATCGACGTTATAGGTGGAAATTGAACTTTCAGTATCTAAATGACAGCCGACGTCATTGGTGGAGGTAGGTGACTCGTCGGCATTTGTTTCGACATTCTTAGTGAAATTTGTTGAACTTTCGGTATCTGAATGATAATCGACGTTATAGGTGGAAATTGAACTTTCGGTATCTGAATGGTAGTCGACGTCATTGGTGGAAGTTGAACTTTCAGTATCTGAATGGTAGTCGACGTCATTGGTGGAAGTTGGTGACTTGTCGGCATTTGTTTCGACATTCTTAGTGAAATTTGTTGAACTTTCGGTATCTGAATGATAATCAACGTCATTGGTGAAAGCTGGTGACTTTTCAGCATTTGTTTCAACATCCTTGGTGAAATTTGTTGAGCTTTCGGTACCTGAATGACAATCGATGTCATTGGTAGAAGTTGAAATTTCGGTATCTGAATGGTAGATTACAAATGTATTATTACTGACCGAGGAACTGGTAGTTGTATCGATATCTCTTGCTTCCATAGGAAATACTTTTTTATCTGACTGAATAAGCATTTTTTCTAGCTCTTGACATTTATTACAATCATGGATATGTTTGAAGTATTTAACAACAATTATTGAGTAAGTATGAGTTCCTTGGAAAAAATTGCTGTAATTATCGACGTCATTGGTGGAAGTTGGTGACTTTTCAGCATTTGTTTCAACATCCTTGGTGAAATTTGTTGAACTTTCGGTTTCTGAATGATAATCGACGTCATTGGTGGAAGTTGGTGAATTTTCAGCATTTGCTTCTACATCCTTGGTGAAATTTGTTGAACTTTCGGTATCTAAATGATAATCGACGTCATTGGTAGAAGTTGAAATTTCGGTATCTGAATGGTAGTCGACGTCAATGGTGGAAGTTGGTGACTTTTCAGCATTTGTTTCTACATCCTTGGTGAAATTTGTTGAACTTTCGGTATCTGAATGATAATCGACGTCATTGGTAGAAGTTGGAATTTCGGTATCTGAATGGTAGTCGACGTCATTGGTAGAAGTTGGTGACTTTTCAGCATTTGTTTCTACATCCTTGATGAAATTTGTTGAACTTTCGGTATCTGAATGATAGTCGACGACATTAGTGGAAGTTGAAATTTCGGTATCTGAATGGTAGTCGACGTTATTGGTGGAAGTTGGTGATTTTTCAGCAATTGTTTCAACATCCTTGGTGAAATTTGTTGAACTTTCGGTATCTGAATGGTAGTCGACGTCATTGGTGGAAGTTGAAATTTCGATATCTGAATGATAATCGATGTCATTGGTAGAAGTAGGTGACTTTTCAGCATTTGTTTCGACATTATTGATGATGGTTGTTGAATTTTCGGTATCTGAATGATAATCGACGTTATTGGTGGTAAATATTGATGATTTTTCAGTATCATCGGCATTAACGGTGGGAGATTTTTCAATACTTGAAGTAGATTCGCTAACAGTAAATTCGTCATTATCGGTAGAATTTTCAACTTTTGAAGTAATATTGACATTATTGGTGAAGAACATATATTCTTGATCTGATATTGAAGGTGCTGGTGAGTTTGCACGTGATGTAACTCGTGATGATGCAGAATCTAAAATTATAATTATATATATATATTAGAATTAGAATTTATGAAATTGAATTTTTTTTTTAAAAAAAAAGAAATATTTACCAATAGTGAGATCCTCAGATGAGCTAGAAACAGCAGAATTCGTATTTATAATATTTATAATATTTCTTATCGAAAGATTTTGTTGTTTTTGTTGACGGGCGCTATAAAAAGACTCCAATTGACTCAGAGTATCAAACATCTCTTGCATAGTTGGACGATTTTGAGGCTCTTGATCCAAAGCACTTTTCATGATGGTAAGATAATTTGTAGGCGCATCAACAATATCTCTTTTATCGATAGATTTATTTCCTGATAGACATTCTTGCGTGGCAATCTCCCAAAGAATAACTCCAAAGCTATAAACCTCGCTTGCTGAAGTGTATTTTCCTCCTCGTTTAACTTCAGGAGCTGACCAATTTGAAGGTTTTAATGATCCTGCTGATTTTAAAAAGACGCAATCTTTTGCATCCTTACCAAATTTATGAAGTTTTGGTTCAAGATCATGATCCAATAAGACACTATCACTTTTGACGTTGTAATGAAGTAGGTTTAAATTGTGAATATGATTCAACGCATTGGCAATTCCACGAGCGATAGAAAGTTTAGCACTCCAATCTAGATCATTTTTTTTTAAATAATCTGGAAGATTAAATTCCGCCCATTCGGTAACCAACATGGTTGCATGTTTATTTTTATAGTTAAAGAAGAAAGAACTTAAGAAATTCACAATATAAATCAAAATGGAAGGATTTTCCTTAATCGAACGTTCAGTAAATCCTTTTACCGAGAGAATATTGTTACAACCACATGATAAATCCATGAGATATGACATTTCATCTTTAAATTTAGTGAATTTGATATCATCTCTTGAAATGATTCCAATACATTTCTCGGAAAGTTTATTATTAAAAAACATTCCTTCATAATTGCCCTCACGATTGAGACCTGTTGGAATGATCAATTCTTGTTTAATGAAACCTGTCGGCATAATGATATCTTGTTGAATGATAGTTTCATTTGGACTTTCGTCTTCCCTACTTAAACTTTTCGGAATAATTACTTCTCGTTGAATAACAGGTTCAATTGGATTTTCTTTCTGGCTCGTCGGAACGTTCAATGGATCTTCCACACTTGTCGGGATGTTTGACGGTTCTTCTACTTCACAGGTCGGAATATTTAATCCTTGTTGAATCACAGGTTCCTCCTCATGCGTAAGAGGAACGAAATCGCCATCATCTTTAATTCGATCTGATTCCTTTTTCATCACCATCAATTTTCCAATCGTTTTTATTTTCGAAACGTTAGAAGGACTCCATTTACTTCCTTTCTTTGTTTTCAAATGTTCAGAGGCTCGCTGGATAGCATTAACGACAATTTCCAAGTTAAGAACGAATTTTTTGAGAGATTCCTTAACTTCGGATGGATTTGAATTTTCTTGATCATGTTTTTTGAAGTAATATTCAATTTCAGAAATCAAGGTGCTACAATCATTATATTCTTTAGTTTCAATTAATTGATCTCTTTTATTTTTCGATAAAGTTCCAACATTTTCCAATATTTTAATTACTTGTTCAATGAATCCGGTACACTTTACGCATAATTCATGATGATGATTAAAATGTTGAA